TATTAGTCAGATAAAGAATTAGATAATCTACTACCTTATAGTATACTAGCCCTGGATTAACGGTAAATCGGTATAGCCCAGATACTATAAACGCGATATCAGGCCGCGATATCACTACTACGTATAGCATAGATCCTATCTTCCGTTAATAGCTTTTAACGTCCGTCGAGGTCCCTAAATAGGGTATTAGTTCTACGATTTTAATTAGGTGTATTAGGCGATAATTACTGCTATACTTACTGTTACTATTTAGCTTCAAAAGACGTTCTAAGTTTATAATATAGTCGTGTTATAATAGCTAGATTTTACAGGCGACGCGGTCGCGAATAACCTTAATACTAAGGAACCACTATAGAGAATCGCTACCTTATAGGTTATAGTAGCGTTATAGGTTATTAACGGCCTGCTTTATCTACGACTTATATTATTCTTTATAAGTACTAACGATATCGTCGACGTAGAAGAATAGAATTAAACCACGTCGTAGAAAATAATACGGTTCCTACGGCACTATCTAAAAACCCTCCGCTAAAAGGATAGCCGAAAAGTGCTTTTACTAAAGTAATAGGGACTCTTTAAGTCTATATAACGTCTTTTTTAGGTATAAAAGACTCCTAGTGGCTAGAAAGCCTAGCGGCGGGTATATAAAGATATTATAGGGAAGGGGCGTGTATATGAACGCGTTTATTATATCGCATTATAATAGTATAAGGTTAAAATACGCAGTGATAGCTATTAACGCACGGAATAACTATCCGGCTAGCGTTACTACGTATATCTCCTTAAGAGAGGATTAATACTACTAATCTCCTTATACTATAAGCCTTACCTTATATTTATATAGAAATCTATGCTTATCGAATTTATATATTATTACCTATATCCAAATAAGAACCTGAATTTTATCTGGGGTAGACGCTGGTACCAGTATCCACGACCCTATCTCCTCGTAGCTCCGTAGGTAGTCTTCTTATGCCTATCGGAATAGGTAGGTATAGGGTATAAGGGTATATCGCGAGGGTTCTTCGGAGGAGGAGGGAGGTCTTTACGATAGATCTTAATAGCCGCCGAAGTAAGCGCCGGAGCTATACTTCCCGAGGCTACCACCGGGTTATATTTCCTGAGATAGTCGTTAGGGCTATAGTATCGAGTAGTGGTAATAAACGCCGCTATAGCGGTATAGAGGTAGTCCTTTTTAATGGTAACTTAGTTAGCGGAGTCCTATCTATACTATGTATATTTAGGGCGTAGCGGCTAGCATTAAACGCAGCTACCTAACAGTCTCTTTTCTAGCTATCTCCTTACTAAATTAGCCGCGCTCCCTTATCTATAGGGAGCCTTATAGCCGTAACTATAGGGGTATCGTAGTACCGTGTTCCTTTATCTATAAGAAGCTCTACGGCTATAACCGTAGAGGATTCACGATTTCCTAATATTACGGCTACTATTAGCGTTACGACTAACGGCGGGGTTATTAGTGGAGTGGGAAGTAGTAGATCGGGCTAATATAGACGGTGATCAGGCGCTATACTAGTTAAATTATACTGTTGGTGACCTAAATCTTATCCTGATAGACTTAAGATAGCCTCCTCCACCCCTTTACGGCCGGGCATTGCGGACTATAACCTTAACGGTAAAGCCGTTAAGGAAGAGGATTCGGGGGGAATTACCCCCGGCAGAGGGTTAAATTCAAAATAAGCAGTTATATAAAGGGGGGGTCCTTAGCTTATACGTCTATAAACGGCGGTGAATCTCTAGCCCTCTCCTACTCGATCTAACTAATTAAGTCTTTTAGTTATTCCACGGTTAATTAACGGAGGTTATCCTTAAAGCCGTTAATATCGCTGTTACAAAAGGCGCCTTTGTTAAAATCCATATCGCGCGTGCGAATAACGCGGTTATAACGTTATAGGCTAGGCACCTAGATACGGAAGATATTAGTGGAATCGTAGCCGATATGGTAGCCGATATAGGCATAACAAGCGGTACGATTTAATAGCTTATTAGCGCCCTCTTAGGCGTCCTTTATTATCGTATACGCCTTATAGCCGTAGGCTCGAAGGTATAATAAAATCGGCTTCCTTTTAAAGAGGACCTTATACGGCGTGTTCCAATCCTTCTACTGCCTTTATAGCGTGCGGTTATAGACGTATACAGCTATAGGAATAGCCTTAGGCTATATAAACAGTGGCAGTTTTACATGGATATTTATCGCATAACCCTTTAAAATAACCACGGTAATAGCGCGTTCGGCACCCCTATTCCACGCTTAAGTATCGGCGGTAGATACCTCTGAAAGGATACCCTCTTTACGCAGGAATTAGGTAATATCGTGGGATTAAGTTAGTTCGTTATTAGATTCGACAACGCGTACCTTATAGCCTAATTAGCGGTCTACCTAGGCGAGGAATTCCTTAATTATTACGAGGATATCCACTACTAGCTACTTTTTATAATGTAGGTGGCCGTAAAACCACTATAACGGTCAGTGAAATATATAAACCGCGAGTCCTTATCGGATATTCGGTTAAACTCTATAAACCTAATCGCCTACCTCTCCCCTATGGAAGCAGGTATATTATAAGGGTGCCTGCTAATATACCGCTTTATCTTTATAAGCTTATAGGCCTTATACTCGATAGTTATTAGTCCCTTTATTTCATCTCCCTGCAGCTGCTTTTATAGGTGCCTCAGCGGTTTAAGGCTAGCGTGCCCTAGCCGTAGATACTATAAGATACCCTCCGCAGTGCTTAGATACCCTATCGTTGATATATAGACGGCTTTTCGGGTATAAGACGATAAAGAAGAGCCTAGAAAAGCAGCCGTAGACTGGTTAGAGGGCACGTATTTAACCACGGTTTAATCGAAGCGGTGACTTAGCTAGTATAGTATAGACCTATTAGAACGTTAAAAGTAGTTATTTAGTGGCTTCTAATCCTACTAGGATCCTCGAAGACGTAGGTGTTAGTTAGAAATCAAATTATAGGTAAAATCCTCGTAGTATACGACGTTTAATAGCCTGAAATTAAGGCCTCCTATTAGTCCGTTTAATCTCACGGTCACGTTACCGTAACCCTTAATAGGTAGGGATAAACTACCGGCGACCACGTAGTCTCCCTGGGTGGCTAGTATAAAATCAGAAAAACAGGAAAAATCGTCAAACATATAAATAGTAGCGCCGGAATCGAGGATCGTAGAGGCTCGAAGAGGGTAACTAGTAGCAGCGGTTCTTACTATAGGGCTAGCTATATAGGAAACGCTGTTCCGGACGCCGCTATAGTCGAGTCACGTCTCTTTAAGCTATATAGTATCCTAACCTATATCCTTTTTAATCTTCTTTATAGCGCGTAGTTCTTCTACTTCCGGGCGTATAGCGGGGTCGTATTTTAGGATCCGGTAAACGGTTATTTTAGTGTTTTTATAGGGTATCTAGCCGTCGAACGCTATCTCCGGAAAGATATAGTAATAATCGTCAATATCGTGATACGGCGTAGCGTATACTTAATAGGTTTCCCCTTATCGGAGGGCAGATTAACGTCTTTTAGAAGAAGAACGGTTAGTTAAAGTAATAGAAGGTATGGCTATAGATACCGCGGTAGTAGGATTCTTAGCTTTATTCCTCCCACGGCCGCCCTTTTTATAAGGATTAGCCGTGGTATCTAGGGTATCTTCGCCCTCTTCGCTTCCGGTATATAGTATAGGGAATACTATAGCGCGGTGGCTACTATGTTTTCCTTAGTCTCTAAGTCTAGTCTCGATATATCGTTAACTAAGGGTGTAAAGTTATTCGGGGAGTAGTACTTTCTTATCTAGAAAGCGTCCCTCGGCTTCGGTCTGATCGCGACTAGCGATTAAACGTATACCTCTAAAAAAGTCTACTATCTAGATATATATTACAGGCCTCGATTAGACCTCTTTAAAACGTACAAATAGCTCCTACTATCTAGATAACCACTCCTATAGCTTCTTTAAGGTCGTTAGCGCTACGCAGATATATTCGTTATAGTCTTCGTAGGTATTAACGCGGCGGGTGGTTATATAGAGAGTAGTATCGGGTCGAACAGCTTTAAACACCTTTTTAGGCGTTAGATTACGTAGTAGGAGCTTACGGCTTTTATCGATAGTATTAGTCTACTAGCTTAAAACGGCTCTAATACCCTTAATATACCTAGCGTAGTTATCTCTCTATATCTTCTAGCGTTATATCGCTAAGTCGTAGGTGCGCTGCCTAGTAGGTGTTAGATCTAACCACTATAAGGGCGTAGCTTCTGCTTATAGGGTTACGTGCGACGGTTAGAAGGTGGCGTAGGAGGGCAAAATAGGCTTTTAAGGAGGGGGAATAGGATTATTAGGGCGTAGATATTTCTAGACTTCGTTATTAATGCCTATAGCTTTATAGTACTTACTCCAGAGCTCCTAATCGCGATAGGTTTTATAGGTAACAGGCTTATAATTCGATATCTTAATAGTTAGTTATAGATTAACACACTATATCGGCGTAGCTTCTTAATCGGTAGTAATAAAAGGTAAAAAGAGTAGGTTTTTACTTAGTAAGTAAGACTCTTAAGTATTAAATAAAGCGTAGCCAAAATCGTCATAAAAACGGTCAAAATTAATTTAGTCAGTTATATATATATTATAACTCTAACCGACGGTCAGAGAATTCCTGCCACTGTAATATTAGTGGTGAGGATTCTGCAGGTGTCCACCCGGATTATAAGCTCGGCAATCCGGCCTATTACGTAATAGTATATCCTCGAACAGGCCATAGTCTATTCGACAACATCCACCCGGCTTATAATCTCGGCAATCCGGCCCGTTACGTAACAGAAAAGACCATGGTCTATTCGACACCCTCTGGTATCCCTAGCCAGTCATATTAGTTGTTTACGCGCTAACATACTAGATCCTGGTAGAGGTGTAGGAGCGACGCGTCTCGCCTTGGTTTTGATACTGAAGTCGACATCTCAATAACATCCTACCTTAGAAAGAACGAAGACATGGCTGGAACACAACCGCCTGACACCGTGCTTCTAACTGAACATCTCGGATATGCACCAGTCGTGAGTATTACTCTAGCGAGACGGGTGTTCCTTGGACGTTGAGGGTTGACAATCATCAGTCCCTCCTCGACAGCATAATCAATGTTGTCAACAGTTTAGCGGATCGAACCCTTGATCGCGTCGAACAGGGCCTTGCCGGTGCGACCCCCAAGACCCTCGGATTTGAACGGGCCCTCAAAAAACGACATCAACAACAACAAGGGCAATCGTCGGGTGCACCACACCCACTTCCGCTGAGTCCGCAGGAAGCCGCCGAATTCGAAGTTGCGGATGGCGTGCACAAGCTAGAAACTCTCCTATGCAATGCCATCGACAAGAATTTTGACATCTTCGAGCTCTATGTTATGAAGTATCTTATCTGCGTCAACGCCTCTACCCGCTCCTGGATCCGCCTCGCCCACTACAACGATCTCGCCTTCGATGCCCTCCATCGCGACGAGTCGCCCTCCACAGAGAGTGTGAACGCAGTGCGCCGCAGTCTGCAGGAGAGCCAGAGGCTGAATGGAATGCTATATGTCGAGAAGGCCAGAAATGCGGAATTACTCGCCAAGTTGCGTGTTTCCGTTGGAGATCAGTTATCTACCTCTATGCGATCATCCGTGATTAAGAGTGATACCAAGAGAGAGACCGTCGAGAATAAGGGCCCGTTTGGATTTTTACATGACAATGGCGACCTGGCAGAGGCTGATGCTCAGACGCCAATCACTACCACCTCTGCATTTACCCTCTCCCAAATGCAGGCATTGCGGGCCTTGTCAACCTCATTGAGTAATCTTATACCTGGCCTAGAAGGTGATAGCGATGCATCAGAAGCACGCGATCAGCCCAGAAGAGGATGGAGGCGCGAAAGGATGGAGTATGTCCAGGGAGCCACGCGGAAACATCTCGAGAGCGTCTGGGGACTGGAGTTGGCCGATAACGGCCTGGTCAGAGACGGAGATTGGCAAGGCCGAGGGCGCAAATTTGCCAAAGGCGAGGTCGAAGGGCTCGAAAAATCATTGGCCGTTATCGAACACCATAAAGAAACACCATCGGCACAGCAAGACGACTCTAGTGACCCGTAACGAGTTTGGGACGGTCAGAAGTTGGCAATTCCATGCGTATGCTCCTCACTGAATGTTGTCTATTGTGACAGAATCCGAATCTACTACGAGGGTTCAGGTCGAGCCCTCTTCCATGAGGCCATAATCCTTGGCAATAGCCCAAAAGGCATGTTTCCAATATCGCCCTCCCTGATCAGCTGCCGGGCTTCTCTCTTGTCGCATCACAGTTTGGACAAACTGTCTCGCCGCGTCCCAATCTCCGCGGTCTGTTAGAGAACGGAGTATCGGTTCCAGAACGGGTAGCGCCGGCCAGATACCCCAGTCGTCCATGTCATAGAAGATTTCCAAAGCGCCTGCGTTGTCACCAGCCGAGTTGAGATGCCGCATGACAGTTTCCCAGAAGACTCGGTCCGTAAGGACTCGAGTGCGAGAGCGACGATCGGCGATGAGAGCGCGGATAGCATCCCAGTCGCGAGGGCGTCGGGAAAAGTAGTATTCGAACAAGATGGTGCAGATCTCCGGCGATGGCTGGAGCCCTGAGCCACGCAGGTGCGCCAGTACAGCTTCAATGGGAACGCGGGCCACGTTACCCGCACGCACGAGGACGTGAAGCATCTTAGCATAGGTTTCCTGGTTTGGCTCAATGCCGCAGGCAGACATTTCGGCGAAAACTTTGGCAACCGTTCTACGCTGCGAGTCAGGTGTCTGTGTCCCCATCTCCGCGAGGGCGGTTTCGAGGATAATGGTGAAAGTCGCACCATCTGGGGCGACGCCCGACGTCTTCATGCTTGTCAGGATTCTGTCAGCTTCCTCCATGTGACCTTTCTTCAGCATGTGGCTAAGCAGCCTGTTATACGTCCAAATATCGGGCTCTATCTGCCTTTCGCTGGCCCATGCCAATACCCGATGGACGGCGTCCAATCTGTCGACTCGCAAAAGGCCCGAGATGGCAGCATTGACGCTAGCTATGCCAGGTTGCACTGCCAGGGAAGGGCTGCCATTTTTGCATGCCTGCTCCCACTCTTGATTCATCTCATCGAGCGATCTTAGTCCGTCGTCGGGCCGCCCCAGGCTACCGTAGGCAGCAATTCGGCTCGACCAGATGTGTTCGTCGAGCTGCATACCCGATTTGACAACCTGGGCCCAGAGTTTTTCAATCGGCTGGAGCTTTTTCGCAATCTTCCAACCTTCCATCATCGAAGTGTACGTTCTGATAGTGGGCGGGAGCTTGATATCCTCCATGTAGTCCAAGACACGACCTGCCAATTGCTGTAGCGCATTTCCCTCCGGTCCCTGCTTGCTACAGCATTGGTGGAGAATGAAGTCAAACAGTTCAGGGCAGTTTCGCAGTTTCTCTTGTCGCTGTGGATCATCTGCAGTGTTTGTCAGTTGTTCCCAGGCATTATTTAGCCCAGAAACGTCGTTCGCCTTGAACCGCGACCCAAGTCTTTTGTGCCAAGCAGCATAGGATATCCGACGGTGTGTTCCAGTGGTGTTCGGTGCATTATGTTTGAGAGACGAGGTGGGCCGAGCTGCCGTTGGTGGTTTCGCAGAAGGCGAGAATTGCATGGATGACCAGGTCGCTCGAACAGATACGTATTGCCAGAGGTCGGGATAGTCAGAAAAGAAGGGCTGTAGGGTGGCACAATCGAAAGGCTTCACAAGAAATTCCAGGTCGGCGAGCAAATTTTGAACATGTTCATCCCTGGCGGTCTGCAGTGCACGTGGATCAGAGAGGACGATGTAAGTACTGGCCAGCACCACTACCAGCTTGCTCATGTCGAGAGAAGCGAGTAGAGGGAATTCAGCTCGGCAGCTGCTCGTTGCATGGTTCGCCTGCCCATGATTTCGCAAGCCGGTGCGTCGGACACCCAGGCCGCGTGCCCTATAGATATGTCTCGAAGAGGAGAGATCCTGCCAACAAGCAACAAGGTCCTCCAAGAGCCTGAGGTCGAAGGCATCGGACGAAGTGGAGGGGTCAGCGTCGTGGTCAGGAACGCGAAGCAGATGCTGCAGCAGGGTAATGTAAGGATCCAGGCGCCCGGGAGATTTCATGCCAAGCTCTCCTATCGCGTTGCAGATGTCTGCGGTTCTAGGCAGATCTGGGGACTCCCAGGCACTTTTCTTCACCTCTAGTAACTTTCGCATAGCTTGCGTGGCCTTGGCATATGTGACCTTGGGTAGACGTTCGCCGCCTGGCTGGCGCAAGACAGGAAGGATGTCATCGTGCACTATTGCAAAGCATTGTGCAACAACCTGAAGGAGGGAGAGACCGTCCTTGTTCTCCAATGCCGCGTTGATGTCGCTTCCTAGTCGGTATAATTGTCCAGCGTCAATGTTTGTGCCGGATTCGGATTGTTGTGCAGCATTGACGGTGCTTTCGAACAAATGTAAGGCCCTGTTCTTTGTATTCTGACGCTGCGTTCCACGTTGCCGTTTCCTCGAAAGGATTGAGTCCGCATTTTCCACTGGTTCGCCAGCAGCTTGGACTATCGCCTCTCTGAACTTCGAGGCAGGGACAGGGGAATTGGTGTCAGTTGTCGTCGAGGAGGACGTGGTCAAACGTTGAGCGGCGGCTGTACTTTTCGCCAATGGTTTGGCCAGGACCTTGGATCGGCATCTTGAGCAGATCGTTCTTGTGGCGAACATTTCATGTCCCCTTGTATGAGATAAGATGTTGTTGGTATGATCGGGTTTGCCTGGATGGAAATCTTCCTGTAAACACTGATGTTGGGTTGTATACGGAGTACCAAGGCCCTGTCGCATGGGCGCACGGACCACAACGTGGTCTATAGGGGATCCAGGGGGGATCCACGCCATGACTAAGGGCTTCGGATATCGGGGACCTCGGGTATTAGGATATAATTGGGGCGGATACTGGAAAAGACCGGATAGGATCCAGATAATATAGTACCTATAATAGAGTCTTCACCACCCTAATTAAGGGTATAAAAGACTCTCCTAGATATAACTTAATATAATATATATATACGAGATTTCTACTCTACTAAGTTAATTATCTAAGTGCTATATAACGTGCGATAGTTATAAGCCCGGTTTATAACGCCTAAACGATAGATATTAATAAGGCTACCCCTATTCTACTATACAGAAATAATCACGTCTATATAAGCACTCTTAAATAACTACTATTAACCTAATTAGAGTAATTAAAAGATTAATTAACCTACTAATTAATTAACTAACCGATAAACTAATAAAGATATCTTCTAATATATCTAACGCCGAATAAAAGGCGGCCACTATTACCCTTATTAACTAAAGGGATTAGGCAGTTTAGGAGCGTGCTATACGCGGTAAATCGGCCTGTTACTAGGATAACTACCTAAATCTAAAGCTAAGCGATAAGGAGGCTAATGCTTATCTCCTCCCTATACCTACACCGCCTAACGTCCGTAAATATAAGGCCCTCGCCGTGGACCCTAACACGGAGGAGGCCACGGCTACTACCGTTAGTAGCTACTCCGTCTTCCACTATTACGCTAAAGGGCGATAAGGCTATAAACGCCACGGACGCCGCCACGGCTACTACGGCCGGTATTACGGCGGCCACGGCTATTAGTAAAAGGAAGATAGCCGCTCGCCGGAAGGCTACGGCCGTAATAAAAGAACTAATAACTAGGACGCCTACGTCTATTAATAACCTCTCTAAAAAAGGGTATACGCGCTACGTATAAGATCGCCGCGTATACCGTAAGGAAAAGGCAGACTATAACGCGTAGTAAAAAGAGTTTAATAAGGTATACTCCTATATCGAAAGGACCGTCTATACAATATTATATAGCCTCCTCGCCTAATTATAGGATAATACTATAAATAACCTATAGGCTTAGATTACTCTCCTATATACGTATATAGGACTAACCCCTATAAACCTTTATAAGGAAGCCTTAGTCCTATATCGATTATATACTACGCCTATAAAGGCTATACCTAAGGATATAGACCGCTAGGTTATAAGCTAGAAAATAGCGATAATATACTATAAATATATAAGCGTTTTAGAGCTATTAAGCGCGGACTATTAGGTAGAAAACGCGTTAAATGCTATTAGACCTATCGCCTAGGAATAGAGTAATAACTACCTAGTAAATAACTACCATAAGATGACGGAAAATAAGCTAACGATTAACGATTTCGTAAAGGCTCTACGTGCGGTTTTTAGTAATATAAAAAGCCTATAATCCTCCGCTATAAGGCCTAGAGTCGGGAGAGGCACCTTTAATACCCTTAGGAACCTCCCCGATACTAAGGATACTACTAATAATAAAGATAATAAGAAGCGTCCTTATAGTAATACGTCCGTAAAGGCTATCCCTCCTATAATAAGAAGGCCTTATAAGATATATAAGAACCTTTATACTACCGCCGCCTATTAGTATATAAGGCCGGATATACGCCCTTATACTTAGCGTGGCCGTGAAGATATTATAAAGGTTACGGAAAAGAAGATACATAATTATAGTTTTAAAAGCCGCGTAAACACTATAATATAGAAAAGGCGGGAAGCCTTAAGGGCTATTACCGCTAATAAGATAGAGGAAGTCTAGGAAGATTAACTCTATAATACTACGCCTAGTATAACTACTATATAATAAAATCGGGGGGTTACTAGGCTACCCGTAAGTATAGCTTTAAAAGACCTATCCGTCACCGCGATAGGGAGACTAGGCGCCTACCTAACCTAAGGGGTAGCGCGCCGTTATCGTATAACAATACTATTAAGATTATAATAAGAATAAGGGGTATCCCTCTCTATTAACTAAGCTAGAGCGCTATTACACTACGCGATCCTAGACTTAGGATTATAAATCTATATCTTTAATAATTAAAGCCGTTTTATGGCTATTCGACTACCCAAGGATACTTTATCTTTATCCCTTTAAGTGGGTACTTATAAGGCTCCTATTCTTAGATACGGAGATATTAAGCTATATATATAATCCCTATTAGGCACGAAAAGGCTATTACGCCTCTATAATATCGTATACTATAAGGAATTCGTTACTAATATTATCTCGGAACGCTAACTACGCCTATAAGGCTACCGCTAAGATACTATAAACGACACTATTATTAGCTCCGCCGATAACTAGCCTATCTATAAGCTACTAGATATCCACGGTTAGTATATAATCGAGCGCGCGGAAGCTATAGCCGCCACTATATTCGCGGTCTCGGTAAAGCACCCGCGCGAGAACCCGTATAGAAGATCACGATAACCGCGGTAACCGTAAAAGACCACGGTATAATAGTAGTATAAACGCCTTAGCCACTACGGCACCGATACTCTCGTAAAGAATATTAACGCTACTTAGGGGGTAAAGATAAAGGGACCTTATATAACGGACTATAACGCGTATAGGTGATCGTAAATACCTATATAGATCCGGCGGATACTATCCCTTTACACGTTAAAGCCCGGAGAGGCCCTAGCTATTAATTTTTATAATCTAGAAAAGGCGGAGTAGTTAGCGGGCGGACTATATCAGTCTATCATATTCGTTATAGACGTGTATATAGGTTATACGTAGGATTACTACCTATAAAAGAGAGACTAAGGCTCTATCCTATACGCTCTAAAAGACGTTTTTACCCTACTTAAGACCTAATTCGACGTTAGGCTATATATCCTATAAGCCGATTCCGAGATATTTTAATACCTAGAAGTCGTTACTTTCCTCGCTACTAAGGGGGTAGAATACTAGCCGTCGGCATTATATTTATAGGATTAAAACGACATTATAGAATGGATTAAAGGTATCGTTAAAAGGAGGGCGAGGGCTATAAAGATTAGGGCTGATCTACCTCTATCTATCTAGCCTAAGATCTTTAAGACTACTATATATCTATATAATAGAATACCACGATATATTAACGATTAGAAGATACTATACGAAGGCCTACACAGCTATTAACCTAACCTTACGCACCTATAAGCTTACGGCTATAAAGCCTATATAAAAACACGCGATACCTAAGCTAAAAGGAACCGCCGATAAAGGCTAGAACCAAAGGTATAGATCGGTTATTATATCGGATACTAATCCTCGAATAGCTTCCGTATTTAGCTACTATACCTAACGGATATTATTACTATAAGAGACGTAGTCTTTAACGAAGATAAGATATTTAACGGCAGGATTAAAACGCTATAAGCTATTACTTCCGCCGAGGAAATCGGGGAACACCTATAATCTATCCGTATCACCTAATCTAGCGATACCACGACCGCGAATAGGCTACTATTAAGGGGTATAGCCGTAGACGTATTAGACCTCGAGTCGGAAGACTTTAACGCTACCGCTATTACTACGGGTAAAGGCGATACTACCGCTATTACTACGGATAAAGATAAGGCCGTCGCTATTACTATAAGAGAGGCTATTATTATTACTATAGATAAGGTTCTAAATCTATAGCCTAATACCTAGGCTATAGATTTAGGACCTCTTAACTTTAATACTACCGTTATTATTACGGGAGAGGCCACCGATATCGCTACGGGCACCGCTATTATTATAGATACTACTATCGCTATAGGAGAAGACTATACCACTACTATTACTATAGGTAAAAGTAATAATACCGCTATTACTACGGGCCAGGAAAACGCTACCGCTATTACTACGGGAAAGGCCACCGCTATTACTAGGGACACTATTACGGATACTCCGCGGTTTACCGCTATAAGGTTCGAACCGTTTCCCACGCCTCTAATATCCCCGGATGATCCTGCGCGCGCGTTCCTTATATCGTTAGCGGTAGTTAGGGGCGTTAAGGTAGAAGGAGACGATAATAATTAACGGGTAGCCGTGGATACCCTTAAGGGGTACACGTTAGCGGCACACCTATCTATCGTAAGTATCTATAAGACCGAGAAAGTGTAGAATAATAACGCCTAAAAGGCGTTCTTTAACGCTAAAAGGACTTATAACCCTATACGCGCGAGGAAGTAAGCTATTAATAATAGCGACGTCGGTACTATAAATTCTACTCCCTCTAATACCTCCTAGCCGCTATCACGCCTAACCCGTAAGGATCTCCTACCTCCGCTAAACTACTACAGCGATATACGCCTTTACCCATTACAGGAGCGGTGGTTATAGGCTAAGGGGGAATACCTTACGGGGTATTAATAGATAGGCTATTAGTAGGAGGTAAGTGGTAATTAGGCTAAGAAGTAATAAGTCCTCGCCTATAGATAGGTATACACCTATAAATTTAATAAGGAGGGCACCCTCCTTAAGTATAAGGCACGCCTTATAGTCCGAGGGGATTAATAAAAACGGTTAAAGACTAAAGATAACTACGCCGTAACGCTAGCCTCGCAGTCCTTCCGTATACTAATAGCGATCGCAGCCCGATTTCATCTAGAAATAAGGCAGTTCGATACCGTTAACGCGTTCGTTGACGCTAACCTTAAGGAAGAGGTATTTATAAAGATACCGTAAGGCTACGAAGTACTAGGTAAGGTCCTACTACTACGGAAAGCCCTCTTCGGTTTAAGGGTATCGCTACTACTATAGTGAAAGGAATTCAGTGGAACGCTATAGAGGATAGGTTTTATAGCCGTCCCTAATAACCCTTATATTATAATCCGCGACGGTTTAATCCTATTCTTCTAC